TTATTTTCAACTACAATAGTCATTAGTTCGTATCATGGATGAAATAATTTTTCCTTCAGTAGTTCCGGAACCTCTTCAACATAAACAAACAAACAAATCTTTCCTCTTTCTAATAATAAAATGTAAAAATTATTGTTGCTTAAGTCGAGTTCATAATAGCAGTTCGATATTTTCTGCTTCAGTTAATAGAAAAGTTTATCTTAAACAACATAAATAATATAATTAAGAGAAATTCCATTTATTAGATATGTGACATCATAAAAATGCTCTTAGTGCCTTTAAATTTTTTTATTATATTCACACTAATTATTTTAAGATTTATGAAATGCAACGAACAGTTAGCGATGGCGCATGGAGGCCGACACCGTGCGTTGCCCCTTCGACTGCGGCTTTAAGTTCTCGCCAAGGGTGGTGGTCTTATTATCTGAGACATACGGTTTATTCTTGTATATGACATGGATTGAACATTGTGAGGGAAGGCTGTGGAATTGCATTTCACGCGAGTGGAAAAATTCTGTAAGGCTTGGCGCCTCGTCGTGTGCTCGCGGCGACAGTACACAGTTAGTGCTTAAAGCCGTTTTATTTTATATTGTTTCTAATTAATTGGACATGTTGACGTCATCGTCTTTTGCTATTATCGTTATTTACAACTCAAACAATTGTATCGTTGCTTCAGTAATACCTAACACTATAATAAAGAAATATTATGTATCTATATCTAACGTCCAAATTATAGATATTATCTTCTTGAAATATATTTGTAGCACTTCAAAACAAGTCGTTATGGTCATGGCCTAGCAACCACGGTAGTCCGGGGTGCCATGGAAGTGGTTACTTGTACTTAATATGTTATTAGGATAAATTTTAACAGACCTCTCACGTAAATGGACTAATTAATTGTTTATCCGTTTCAGTTCAGTTTATACAGCCCTGGGTACACTTAATAGCCTATATTATATAAATGGCCTGTCAATTATAATGATAGTATTGAGTTATTATATGTATATCTAGAGTTACTTTGATATTAATTCATCAATTTCAAACTTTATATAAATGATATTTATTTTCTTTAATACACGAGGAGATCTAACTTGGATATTATATTCAGTTTCGTGCCGAGTTCTCTACTCGCACATTGGCCAGGACACATTTTTCTTTGCTCAATATAGACAGCAGAATTATTAATGTCATTGAATATCATAAACCACTCAGACGCTAGACAGAGAAATCAATACTATATTGAACATAAATCAATTCATACTAATTCGTAACGTATACCAAACATAGATATAATAAAACTACCAATTGTAAAGCTCATACGGTTCAAGCAAGCTCATAAAGCGTATCATACGGTTAATATGATATATTTCGTATTAAGATAACTTATTTTACCATATTAAGCGATCAAACAAGGTTAGATACGACAATATTATGAAACCCTTTATAAATATATAATCGTATCTTTAGGTAACCACAAAATATATATTTCCGTATCGTTTGACATCTTAATAAAAAAAAATACTTGTGTAAAATATAAAATATTATACTTACTTATTATCTTAGTCGTATGGCGAGCGATGTTTAAGATATATTAAAGTAGTGTCTTCACCGTCTATTACGAGCTTAAAAGTCGTCGATTGTCTGAATCAATATTGATTAAACGTCGCAATGACAAAAAGGTTATAATATTTATTTTCTTACAATCGAAACATCAATTTATTTTTTTAATAGTCACATTAAAATCTTATCTGAGTAAATCTAACGTTAATAAGACATGAATTTTACACGTGAAGTCTTTTAAAGTGCCAAAATTTAAAAGTTTATGTATCAGGGCTTCTATGGTAATGTCCCTTGATATGGTCCACTAATTTTAACCGCTGCGTTTGAGTGTTGATAAGCAAACTAGAAATATCTACGTCTCAATTAAAGTTCCACATCGACTAATTAATATGGAAGAATAAAAAGCTATTTCTGTTATAGCACTGTAGCCATCAAAAACTGTGGAATATAATTTTTTTTACCGCTCACTATTAGGAAAAAGCTTTTCACTGTTATGATTCTTTTTTGTGCTGTACTAGCTTAATAACTATAATAGTAATTAAATAAATTATAATAATTAACAGTATATATATATATATCTGAATTTACCAGGTTGTTTAACACATTAACGTTGCATATATTATCATAATTACAAAGAGACGCATATAATAAAAAGAGACGTCCATAGTCTTTTACTATAATTTTTCCATGCAGGTATGTAAATAAGAAATTTGACGTCACTAGACTCATTAAGAAATAATTTGAATTTTAAGTTATTATAATATGATTCTGATTCCTTATAATCTTAGCAATAAAGAATCAGGTCAATATTAAATGCAAGTTTAATCGTGCATTTGGAAAGGTTCTAAAAAATGCCAAGCCAGCTTCTAATCCAATGTTTCTTTCGGCTATTTAGGTGGATTGTCTGAACATTGATGAGAATACACTCTGTGGTAACGCTCTGTGGTTCTGAGTAGCTTAGTGGTTAGAGCATCTAATCAATGGTAAATTAAATGTTCGAGTCCCATCTCAGGATGTCAGGAACAAAGTATTTTTTAAGCATTTTCATTAACAATAATTTTCAGTATAGCATTATGAATGCGAAATTTATCAAATATGATAGTTCAATGAGAGTTTGCAATTATATAAACAATATGAATTATTACGTTTATATACGCTAATATATTCAAGAAAATTATTTAATATATAGTCTAACTAAATGAATGAATGATTCGTTCGCGGCCAAACGGGTGTCGCAGGCGGGCGCCTTGACCTTAACATTATTGTAATGACAATCGGCCACCACTATTATATTTTAAAGCGCAGACGTACGATTTTCATGAGTCACAAACCCATCGTCATTACCATGACATGCATGTAATTATCATCCTTGCTTCATCCCCATTCATTCGGGGTCCTTGGTCTTACTTTCGCACGAATATTAATTAGTATTAAAAATATAAATAGTAAACAGAAACACACAACGAACTGAACTAGGAACAATTTATAATTTGTACTGTAAATTATATTTAAAAAATCTCAAAGTTTTCTGAAGGTAAAAAGATGATATTGGATCATAAACTTGCTACGTGTTTTTGTTTAAATTAAACTATTTTATGAATTGAAATTAGTAAAGTTATTATTTATTAACTATTAATAATTAAATAATTTGAGTTTGATTTTCCTTTCACCGCCTACGACCTTCCGCATTCCGGCAATCTATCTCAGAGTATCTGAGGCTGGTGGATTTTTATTATTTAATTTATATTAATTTTGCAATGATAAACAGTTTATTAGACGCAGGATGCGCTCTTACCGCTAGGCCAAGGTCACTGCCATTTGCCATCGCCTTAAGTAAGAAACTAGTTTCGTTGTCTTACTAATTAATTACTTTATCGCTGCTACAATACTTATGATATACAAGTTACAGTCTAGTGAACACAAACGTAGTTATTCAAATTAAATCAACGGAAGCAACCGCCATATTTAATAGATTAGCTCGTTTACCTCACAGCGTATATATTGGTGTATGTTACTTTATTAAAATGTTATTATATTTATTGAATACATTTTTACTTAATAACTCAATACAATTGGTCCTAAACTTATTTGTTGTAATTTTGAAATTCATTTGCCGACTTTCGAATGAAGCGATTCTAATTTCAAAATCGTCCACCGGATTCCAAATGACGCGATTAAAGTTTTTTTTTTCACAGCTTTGACAGGTAATTGCGAAAGTCATACCCTACTTGAGATACACAAAAACATTTGAATAGTTGTTATGCCACATAACTGATTGAGCGTAAATCGTTTCCGATGGCGAACGGACGCACTGTAGTTCCGGCGATTTTACTTCGAACCCTAATTAGCATTCATTTCTTATTGACACGCTTTTTGCAGCATTTCATTGATCATTGGTTGAAAGATGACAAATATTTCACGTACGATTCCCTGTTTACTTTTATTGGATTTACATATAATTAACATGTAATGCAATAGTTTTAATCTCGTTAAGTTAGTCGTTTCAATTGGAATTATATTTTATAAAAAATACTCCAATGATAAATTAAATAGGTTGTACCGACGAGTAGACAAATAATTATTCCTAGTCTATGTTTCATTGCATAAAATGATCATAGCAAGTTATGTATAATGTAAAAATTAAAAAATATTATACATAAACAAGCTCGGTTAGCGAAGCAGAAGTAACTTCCGCAAGGGCATGTCAGGGGTGATCAAAAATTAATTATCTCGAGCTCCTCTTTGCTTCGATAGGCACCTACCAACCCGCATTGAGTCCGCGGGTTATAGTTAATTATGTACCATTTCGATTCTATTCCATCTATAGGAAAAACCTGTGATTTAGCAATGGCAATATTAATAGGTCGGTGATGACATATACATACTCATTCACAATTATAAATGATACTACGGTTAGAAAGAGGCTCGGCTGTGACGCACACGCGCTTGCGCACTGGATGGCGCCAAGGGTGTGGTTACAGACTAAAAATAAACTGCGCACGAGACTACACACACACAAAAACTTTTAACATTCGTTTTATGTCAGAAATTGTTTATTGTGATGCGATAACAATACTATTTTAATTTTCAATGAAACATATCTCTCATACGTTAGAAGAAACAATATACTTTATACGCAGTTCGAAAGTTTGTTTCGTTTGTTCTTCTTGTTAGTCCAAAGTCGTCCTGTATAAGCGGTAGGGAAAAATATTTGGACGATTCAAAAGTGCATGTAACAAGGTTATTTGAATAAAGTATTTTTAAATGGTATTCCGTTACCGGTTGAAGCTCGAAAAAGATGCTTATGGAGAAAAATATTACTAAAAAAGGATATTAAAAAAAAAAACTTTTTACCATACAAAAAGGAGCTGTACTAAGTTCGCTGGGTTAGCTTAGAGCAGTATAGTATTAACTTACTGTCGAGTTACAAAATAACTTACCTTAAAGTCCTTTTTGATACCATCTTTGAGCATTCCACCGGAAAATATGATGCCGTCGACGAAGAAATTGCACATGAACGATGCGAAGACCACTACCCAACCCCACCCGCCGTCTGGTGGTACTACCTGTAAAAAAACCTATACTTAGACACATTCTGAATTTAAATTTAAAAAATGTCGTATTTCTTATTGACATAAATTACTCCAAACATAATGAGAAAATTTAGTATCCCTTAGGATCATTTTATATCATTTTTGTTGTAATAAGACTTATTGTGACAATATAGTAGGTATACGACGAAAAACTAAATGTAACCAAAAAATTTGGCTTGGGACTCATTACGAAAATTATGGAGTGCTCCTATTTACATATTTATTTACTTTCTACAATTCTATACTATCAACAACTTTGTTTGTAGAAAATAATCTTCGGAAATACTGAACCGATTATGAACAGATCTTCATCTTACGTGGGCGGCAAGCTATAATAAACGCCAGCGAACTCGCGGGAACAGCTAGTATTATTATAAAAAAATATACTTTACACATTCTATTCTGGACTGTAATGCGTCTCCTTTACCATCCGCTTCAGTCTCAGAAACACGCTGGATACCCGAAGAGTCCATATTTGTAATAGTAATTAGATAATTGATAATCTTTGGCACCCCATAATTTTACAGAGAAGTGGTAAATAAATAGATAAAAACGCACAGAAATTACATATCACAGACTATTGCGGGGATGTCATTTTTGAAAAGTACTCATTTCTTTATAGATTCATATAATAACTCTATGATTTTCTATATTTATCAGTATAATCTATGAAATTAAAATTGTCTTTAAATTGATTCTCTGGCTCAAGGTTAAAGCAAAACATGTTATATAAACTTATGGAAGATATAAATTCAGCTATTCTCAAACGCTAACATCTTTTATTGAAAACAAAATAGGTGTGGTGAACACATGTTGAGTACACAAGTAATGTTTAAATAGATCGAAGAAAAAGCAAATAAAAACGTTTTAAAAACGATTTAAAATTTCAGTAATTTAGATAATCACCCGAGTGGCAAGCCGAGTTGTTCGCACACCGGTTTCAAAGTGTCGCCATATCTGAGGTTCCGAGTTCGATTCCCGGTCGGGTCAATGTAGAAAATTGACTTCTCTATATTATCCTAGGGCTGGGTGTTTTGGTGCCTTCGTTGTCTCAGATACTACATATTATGGCAGCTTAAGCGACTCATCTTAGAATCTGAGTAATGTATGTATGTGGTGTTGTCTTATATTTATTATTCCCTCTTTTCACGCTAATATATTAGTATTCATGGATTTTTTTTAGATTTTAAATATTGTAACTGGTCTGTGCTAACTTGCTGTTTATATTCAGAAATAGGCAAGCAGTTTACAGAACGTTATTTTGCAAAAAAGAAAGCTTTTTAGGTTTGGGAAAATTAAAAACTTTTCCGGTTAGATTTTCTCAGCTAGTCGTTATACAGAAATAACATTTGTTATAAATGGAGCTTGTATTAACCGAATAAGTTATGCCGAATATTGAATGTCGCAATTACAAAACGCAGACACCGTGAAACAAAACTGTATTGTAATATTCTACTGAAGCATTTAGGGTTTAGGGTTAATTACTTTCGGTAATGAAAAGATGAGTAGGTACATATACTTATTTAGCGTATTTTCGACGATTTCCCATATATTTTAACATAACAGTATTTCTCGACCAGAAAATGAATTTGTGCAACAAGTTATGCGTGTAATATTTATTTAGGACTAGCTCCTTTGCCGCGATTATTCCAGTGCCACTCGCGTATGTTGTAACTTCCCGTTGGTGAAAGAATTTGGTAAATTTGTCCAATACTTCCGGAGCCTATTTGAATGCAAACAAACAATTTTTTTTTTTCATATTAAGTAGAATAAACTATAAATTTGAAGTGATTTACTAGTTTCTTAATAAAATTATGGGATTGAAAGCTTAGCTTCCGTGCTGCCTAATTCTTGTCAAGACTATAACACATCATTGCTCACGAATTACTTCGGTATCCAATCCAAACACACCAATACATTAGTTGCGGTGAACCGGTATTGGATGGAGCTTCTAGAAAAACTCGAAGTGTTAATTATCTTAATGTCCAACGAAATGTGGGATTTGGCCACCAAGGTCATTTAGTTCGCTGAAGGTCAACCTGGCTTTTCGAGGCTTCAACTGATATGTAGTTGACGTATTACAAGGAGAAATCTCAATGTAATTGATACGTAGATTTAATTATACTAATTTATTTACTTACAAGAACAACTAATATTATTTTATTATTTATATATTTACATTTTATTATTTGATAATAAAATGTACCTACTATTGATTTGCTTTTGTATTTCGAGTTTTGCCTTCTAGATCTAAAGATATTCTTTTCGTTTCGGTGGATTGCCTGAACATTGATTAAAATACACTCTGTATTAGCGAAAAAGTAACAGGTGTTTGAAAAATTCGTCCAAATCCGGATTGCAAAAGGTCGTGGGTTCGAGACCCATTTCAGAGTGCCTGATACAAAGTTGGATTTATTAACGATATTTAATTTATCATCAGACTCCATATGCATGGGACCAAAATTCTATCGTTTGGTAAGAACAATATGTATTACATTTATTTTATTTATTAATAATAAACATTTTTTTCAGTTAACATTTTATATATTTTATTTTAAGGCTTGGTCATCCAGGCACTATACTTTATGTTTGAAATATCCATATTATGCTAATATATTTTATTTTGAGAAATTCCAATTTATAATATTCTCAGATACTCGTATCATATGCTAAATACCTACTATTTATTACACCTCAAATGTCTAGAGTCATAAAATAAGAGACCAATAATCACAGATTATGTCTGTATTTTAAAACAGATTAATATAAAAAGAGAATGTATAGTCCTAGAAAAGGCAAGAGCCAGGCGAAGAGGTCCACTGTAAAGTCTGCGACACGCTTCAAAATTTGCTGCCTTCTCTGCCATGCCCTCTGGAAAGCCATTTTTTCCGAGTCAGCCAACACAAAGTTAATTGCAATCCAATCAAAAATGAACTTTATGACGTTGGTTTAAAGTAGTAATAAAATCATAGTCATAGCTATCTCAGCGAAGGCCAATGAAATAGTCGTTAACAAACAAGCACTAATTAATTTCTCAGCAAATCTACGCAAAATCCTTCGCCTCCTTAACTTTCTTTCAAGTGCTGTCATATTCAATTATTAGCTGACCCGGCTTTGAATAGTATTATTTTTATGTTAAATTGCTGTGTAATCCATTAATCATGAATCCATATTATCTGTTTTTGTATTTAGGAGCATCGCAACTGCAAGTCGAAACACATTCTGATTTCATCTCAATATCATCTGTTTGAATTGTCACTGAAGGATACTCGACTTTCTGAAAGCTCAAAAAAACTAAGCAAATATGAATACCAACTAAAAAAACTATTAATGTATTAAAAACAGACAAATATGACATAGCAAAAAAATAAATGGGGGCATCGCGCTTAGCCCCATTTATTTGGATATTTTAAAATTTCACGGTCATGTTGAATTTTTGATTGCTGTCATTGATCTGTCAGGTGAAGATGACAGTCTTGAATTTTTTATTTAATTTATTCCGGTGGTCGCCAGAGGCAACCGCGCTGATTTCAAAAAAGGATATACTGGTTATTTTTTAATCTCGCTCAATCAACATTATTGCGCGCAACTAACGTTACTAATTAAGTAATTATCTACAAAAAGGAAAGTTGCAACGATTAATAAGTAGGTAATATTATAAGAAACTCTGAGACCGAGTGTATTTTCCGTGTAACAGTCAGTACTTGTGTAACCACAGAATCACAGTTACCTTTTTGACATCCGTTAATTATTTTTTTTGCATTACATGTGACTACGGATTAATGTCAAAGCCAAGCAAAAATGTAGTTTTTTTAGCTTAGACCAGTTTTCTTAACCTTGAATCGGTTCACGATTGGTATTAGGGTGGGTTGCAGGCTACAAAAATTTTAGGTCGCCATCAAAAAATATAGATTCACTGATTTGGCGAGATCACGTAAGCTTTAGAGGTGTATCTAATAATTTATTAATTTAATAAATACAACTTTCCAGTTAATAGGTAATATGAGATTATTGAAAATCATTTAGTGTTTATTTAAATCACTGCTTGCTACTTTATCAAGTATTACGACAGGTATTTGCATAATTGTCGCATTGAAAGTAAAGAAAAAAACGGACTTGATTGCCATTATCATGCTACGAGCCATTAAGATACAAAAAACGACCTCAAGTTCACGGTTATCTAACACTGATTCTGATATGACCGACGAGAGAGTTTGTATGACTTCAGTTTTAATCACTCATGACTGTCTCAATGGATGATTGTATTCAAATGAAGCCCCGTGATTGTAACTCTCGTTCTTTTAACAGGCATATCGAATTGTGAAGGTCATAGCAATAATATTTAATGTATTTCGTATCTACGTATACGTTACCATTGAAACGTTACTTTTTATTTCATCAGATCAAATTAACATTTTTTTCATTAATTTTGAAATACGTGTACTAGCTGTTTTCTCGCGACTTCGCCCGCGTAAATTATTTCCTACGCCATTGGCGTATTCGAAACAAAAAAAAAATATTCAAATCTTTTCACTTTATAATATTAGTATAGATATTTAGTAATTTTGAAGAGAAATTAATAAAAATGACAAACTAAATAACTATTTCTGCAAAAAATTGGATCGTTACTTGAATTTTTGCCGTTGTTATTGTTTTTATTTATAGGCTTAAAATTGCCTACAATAAATGCGACGTCTCTTTTCTATGATTTCCAAACAAGAGAATAAGAAAATCACGGAAAAATCAAGGGCATGACCGTGGAAAAATTCAGTCGGAAACGCAAACGTTAGTTGAAGTTTGGCACAAAAGGCGAATAAGAATCACAGAATGACTTATAAAACAGGTGTGAGTTCTTTATTATATTAGTAAGTCCTAAGTACTAATACAAAATAGTGGATTATGTTCACTGACAAACAAACTTCCAGTAGACAAGATGAGATGACGAAGAAACGGGATATGATAAAAATATGTGAACACAAACAAATAAAATCTGTTTTGGTGTTACAATTCAATTCAAATATGGTTTATTTAATTTTTAAATGGTGTATTGATATTAGATGGAGCAGAATTGTTATCATTTTAATGGATAGAGTTCGAGAAAAATATGAAAATATACTGACCAATGCTGCTTCAGGTTCAGCGTCGCTGGGTGAATCGCTGCGTCCCATGCCACTCTCATCTGAGGATGGCGTCTCGAAGGGACGCTCGTCAGTCGCTACTCGTACCACCATCGTGGATTCTGTGAAAGGAATATTCAATTTAATAAACTAATACTTTTCTAATAATAATTTCAAAACATGAATTTTAATCTATTTAAATAGAATCCATCTTCGGCAAATAACACATAACACAGTGGGAGTTGGCAACTTTAAAATTGTTGTATAAACAAGTAACGCCTTACAAGTTGAACATGTTAACATGTCGAATATTTATGAGGAGTATTAGTTAGCTTCCTATGATATAATAAATAAATAAATTAATACTCTATGCGAATTAATTTGACATTAGATAGGACAATGTGAACACCGATGCTATTCTATAATAAAATCAGCGTGGAACTCTACGTTAAGCATTTCCCTGTCACAGTATAGAGGTTCAATAAAATATAAATCTACTTTAAAAAGTAACAGAGGTTTAAATTCATTGTATCTTTATGCTGTAACTGGGCTTTGCGTAATGTTGAGTTCGAGGCAGATTTTATTATAGATTAGAACAACTGATTTACATTTTAAAAAATTCTTGCGATTTCTTTGTCAGTTTTATTTAGTCAATTCAATATGTTTCCCATAACATATTAATACAAATTTTATACTAAAGATTGTTTCCTAGAACATGTTTTACCATTTTCATTATAGTTAAAGACGTGGATTTAAAAAAGTTCCTTTTTAAATTTCATTCATCTAGGATAATCAACTTTCGCCATTGTTAAAACGATACTTAAACATTTCACAGACTATTGACTCTACTGCCGAAGAAGGGTAGTTGTTTTAACGATTGCAATATTTTTTATAACCACGTGTTGATATTATTGTAATTGACGTCGTAACTTAAGGCAGCTGAACAAACTGGCGTAAACAATAGCTTCGTTAAAATGTCTATTGACGTAAAGAGTTTTCATATATTGCAAAAACCGTATGATGTAATAATGTTGGAATTGAAAAATATTTAAATTAGTATTAGGAGTGTAAAATTACGGTATTTTAAAGTTTCTATGAAGTATACAAATATGCATTAAATATAGATATAGTTGTCCTAATGATCGGTTACTTTTTAGGGTTCCGTACCTAAAGGGTACAACGGGAACCCTATTAGTAAGACTTCGCTGTCTATCAGCCTGTCTGTATTCTTCGCTGTCTATCAGGTGTAATTTTCACAGATGATGTATTTCCGTTGTCGCTCAATAATTATTACTAAAAACCAGAATACAATAAACAGTTGCACAAATGTCAAATTTATTTTTATTTCTAGTGTTATTTATAAGAATTGATTAACATATAGCAAAATACGTGATTTATTAATTTTTCATGTGTGAAATACATATAAGGGATAAGAAATACATTTAAATATATCGACTATGTCAATTTTAATGAACAGGGTAATTTTATTATTAGATGGTTCCCTAAGGATTACAATTCTAAACCCCAGGCAGACAAAAATTAAGCGTAGAAAGTGGTTAATTTTTTTTTTATGTTTTAAAGGTAGCAGTTTTGTTTTGCAGAACATTTTTCTACTTGTTTATTATTTAATCAGGTGAATCTGATATTTCTGAATTTATTGTCTCGTGGTGTGGAAAATTCCAAATACTGCGCCTAGAATAAAATAAAACGATAATGTAGATTTTCGTTGTATCCATATTCATGAACGTGAAACCACTACATAACTTTGTTTATATACCTCGTCTGTTATGGCACAGTTACACTGAACGGGGTCTGCATGCGGAGCGTGGGCGACCTCTGCGATTTCATGTTATTGATCAATAAAATAGAGACCGACCAATGAAAGCGGGCTACAGAAATCATCCGCACGACGCACGTGGATATCATTGACCAGTGTAAATTAACTATTACGCTTTCACGGCCATAATGGTAAGCCAATTTTCATCATTGTCATATTCATCTCTGCTGAGAGATAGCCTTTCCCTGTGGAACGAATCACATATGGTGAACTAACCATAAATAAACGCGGGCCCAACGTGGATTGGTTACGCTCAAAGATCGAAATTGGAATAGGTCATTGAACGAAAAAATTGTTCGCAACGCGTTGTAGCGATCACAGAATAACCACATAGCGAAATACGTGTCGTGGTTAATATGCTATACGACCACAACGCATTGTGGCGTCCTACCAGTCATGAGCTATGGGGCCGAAACGTGGAACATGACAGTGAAGTTGGCCCACCGACTACATGTCGCTCAGCGAGCTATGAAAAGGTCTATGCTCGGAGTCTCTCTGACGAATAAAATCCGGAATGAGGTCATCTGGCAGAGGACTTAAGTGATGGATGTTATCCAGAAATGTAGCAAGCTGAAGTGGCAGTGGGCTGGCCACATCTGTCGCAGAACCGACGAAAAGTGGAACAGGCTGATATGGTGGTGGATAAAAAATAAAATCTAATCAAAACGTAAATAATATGTTTTATGTTAAGTATAAATAACGTCTTAATACAAATAATATTGACTATACTGAGCTACATATATTCATCATCATCATCATCACTTCAGCCGAGAGACGCCCAATGCTGGGCATAGGCCTCCCCCAAAGTTCTCCAAAGCGATCGGTCCTGCGCCTCCCACATCCAGCGGCTTCCCGCGACCTTCACCAGATCGTCGGTCCACCTTGTGGGGGGCCTACCAACACTACATATATTAAATTAAAGATATGACCTTGAACTTTTGACTCTTTAAGGCGAATTTCAAATCATTGGCTAATAGTGGCAGCGTGCGAGATTTTTATGGGCTCTTTTCTCTTGTCGATGAAAGATTGGTCGACATGAAAATGAGTCACAAAAATCATCTGCACACCGCATGCGAGTAGTCGTGCTCGACAATGATAAAGCGCCTTTACGCAAAATAATGTAGTAGCTAGTAGACTACCTATTTAGATTTTTTTTTTTCATGAAACGTCTCTGGTAACTTACTGTGGAATAATACATATTGCGTTAAACAGAGGTTATATTAATTACTATAATATTTTCCCTCGACTTTGCCCGTGTAAATTACAGCCTATATTACCCGCGTATGATGTAACTGATGATGAAATAATTTTCATGTTCGGATTTGTATTTCCGAAGATTACCCCCTACAAACAAACAAACTTAGAAACTTAACCTCTTTTATAATATTAGTATAGATTGTAATAGAACAACAGAAAGTAAATGGCACAACATTGTATTCACTTATTTAAGCTAACAACAGCTGCTTTAGTTGATGAAAAGTTAATACGAATCGTTAAAATAAGTTTATTGCATCGGAAATTAATTTTAAAACACCTAACAAATATATATTTGAAATAACTGTCGAAAGGTGCGTGGGCTGTATGAAGTAAAACTTGTGAAAGGGCTGTCAGTAGAGTGAATTTTACTTTTATAACCTTATATGTCTGAAGTTATAAAAAAAAAACAAACAATAAAGCAAACGAGAAAATTTCTGTGGCCAATAGGGATGATGCTTTGGTAAAAAAGAAGTTCTATTTAGTCCGTCAGTCAGATAATAGAAAAATATTTGATACGTATTTTTTGCAGAAATGGATTATATAATAGGTATTAAAGATAATGAATGGGGCTTCGAAACGTCACACCATATCTAGAAAACGTATAAAAGTGTGACGTCATGCGACACTTAAGCCGTAATTTCAAACAAACAAAAAATAGTCATCATCCTCATTCGTCATGTTTTAACAAGCACAAATGCTTAACGTGCTATCTGAAGCATGGAGGAGAATTTTTGGTCATCCATCCAATGCTCAGCCATTCCTTAATAGCTTTTAATTACCAAATGCGCTAGAATGATAAATTAATTAAGTTTAAAAATCTCTTTGTATATTATCTATTCATACATCATCATCATCACCAACCCTTTTACGTCCCCACTGCAGGGGCTCAGGCCTTCCTTATGGGTGGTTAAGGAGGATGGGCCATGACCCTCCACGCTGGCCCAATGCGGATTGGAGGGAGGGGGGATCTATTCATACATTATTATTTATCTATTTGTATTTTGTATTGAATCATACAAGAAGATTCAAAGTATTAAGCAAAGTTCCGGGTTATTTAGAAAAACACTGAATTCTGACAAAGGCAATTTTAAAGAATATTAATAAAAATTAAAAATTATTAAAAAGAGATCGACTACTTATGCTCTATTTCTTTAAAAAAAGAAATACAAATAACTTCGTCATTTACACGCTACAGCCCTAATTTCTGGTTCGAAAAGTGACACTTTAATATCAATGTTGCTAACATTAATATTTAAAATAAATATGTAATTACATTTATAAATAACAATAAAGGAAAAGTTATGTGTTAACTTTATGTCGATTGGTCGACACGATTGACGCATAAGATCGACGACCGTGTGACCCAACATGTAGTTCAGTCGTCGATCATAGCAGTGCATTGCTAACCACTGATACGCGATATCAGACCACAACAGTGTGACCCGCTTTCGTGTTTTTTGTTTCTGGAATATTCTGGAGTCAATAACCGGCATTGGAATTATTGTATTATAATAATGTTGTATTTAGAATAAAATATTGATGTATTTCCTGTAGGAAATAATTAAAAAAATATATAATTCTCAATGTCGAGAAATAGAACGCAAGATTTAGGGATTGCGAAATGTTATTGGATCAAATTGACATTGGATGTTTTTAAAATAATTTTTTTTTTAATATTACATTGGCTGCAATTAGTTGTAGCATATCGCGGTTAATGCTTTTAATTTCGACGGAATTATATTTTGATGGTTAAGTATATTTCACCATTGTTATCATCCAAAATATTAAACAGAGTTCATTTTAATAAGTTAAAAAATAATTTATTTTGAAATAAATAGAACTATTTTATAATACTGCCTTTTTAACTAATCTTAAAAATAGAAAATACCTATCATACGTTACAGATATTTGCACAAACGTTCATTGAAATTTTCATTAGTTTAAAGCGAAATTACCCATACAAATTTGACATTCATTAGAGCTCAAAGGCGTCATTAAACCTTAATGGATGTTTGTGCAACTGAGCGT